GAATTTTGTTGTCAACATTTACAATGTATTGAAATATATGATAAAGATACTAAAAAAATCCGCACATAATAATTTGTAACATATCAACCGCCATCGAACATTTCCGATTATTAAAATGATCATCAGGTGGTCGGATATTTATGGTAGTGGAAAAAATAAAAACCTTTGCCGCACGACATTTAATTTGCCAAGGGCAAGGTAACATTGCAGATCTAATTAAAATATGGAAACAATACGAGTTTTGTGACACGGCATTAACAAAGAACACCTTATTTATTAACAATTGAGAAACTATCAAAATCAAGCAATTGATTTCTGCGCCCGATTTATCAATTTTAAATTCGTACACCACAACACACTAATATTTTCGTCACCAATCCTACATTTATTTATTGTATTTATTTACCATGTAATTAATTATTGACATAATATTTAAATCAATTGTAAATATTGAAATTTTAATGTTACTTCAGATTATATATAAATAGTATTAGTGTTCTTTTTTCCCTTGTTAAAAAACCAATTATTCTGACGCTAACACTAATACTAATATTAATATGATGAATAATCGTCGACAACGAATTCAATTTCTTTTTATTGCTTTATTAATACTTGTAATAAATGTTGAAAGTCGAGCTTTTGATGGCAGTGATAATAATTTAAAGAATCCTACCTCTGGTATTCCATCACAAAGTTTCCAAAGAAATTATCCTCCTCAAGCATTGTTTGGGTAAATTCAATTAATTAAATAAACAATTGTAATAGCACTTTTTTTAGATTTAATTTTAAATATAATTATATATACAGAGCAGATGGAGATTCAATGATAAAATCACCTTCTGATATAGTTGCTGCTGATCCAACACGACCAATACCAAAATGTGCAGACTTACTTCCAGTTGATACTTATCCAATGCCAAGATGTGTATCAAATATCCTCACTAATTATAATTTAAAACCTTATAATTTTAGCCAAATATCAGATTATCGATCTAAAAGACAAACAAGCCATTTGGTATTTATTTATTTTATTTTAACTATTTAACATCTACGAAAAGAAATAATTTAATTATTTTACTTTTCTTTATCCACACAGATTACTTTTTTTGCACAATTCATTTCTTTTGATATAACTGATTCATCAACCACGAATCCATCAATTCCAATGTACATACCAGCTGATGATGCAACTTACAATTCACCAAAATCAATTCCAGGTCAATTAAGTGCTACAACAAAATTTTTACCTTTTAACAGATCAGATTTTTCTACAGCAGGAACTACAAAACGTAATGGTATTAATAATGTGACACCATTTCTGGACTTGAGTCCTTTATATGGTATCAGTATTGCAGAATCAAATATGCTTCGTGATCTTGGTAATAGAGGCAGAATGAAAACAAATGGAGGAAGTCCAACCAACTCATATCCAATAAGAAACCAAACAACAGGAAGTTATATTATGGGTACACACTCAACAAGATCAAATAATATTTTCACTTTAGCAATTTTGACTATTTGGTTACGTGAACATAATAGATTGTGTGATGAATTGTATGATATACATGGTGATACTTGGTCTGATGATCAATATTTTGAAGAAGCTGTAAGTAACTTTTATAATGATGTTAATGATAAAAATAATTGGCTTTTACTAACATTAGTTTCCTTTCAATTTTTATTTGTATTATAATCTATCCTATTCTTAATATTTAGAGGAAATGGAATATTGCATTTTATCAAAAAGTAGTGACAGAAGAATATCTTGGTGTTGTATTGGGCCAACCATTACCGCAATATCAAAAATATGATCCAGCCCTAACTCCAGGAATTGACTTATTCTTCTCCACCATAACATTCAGATATGGTCATAGTGAATTAAGTGATTATTATCATATTAAAGATAAATATGGTGATATAGTTAAAGAAATTCCATTGAGTGATCTTTTTAATATGGATTTATTAGAATCCTTTGATTTAGTATATTTAATAAGATCAATGTCTGTTCAACGCCAAGAAGAAGTTGATTCGTATTATACAGATTCTACAAGAAATGTAATAACACCTGAACCAAACACTTATGACGTTGGTGCATTTGATCTTTTAAGGTCAAGAGATAGGGGTATGTGTGCATTTGTGAATGAATGAATGTGATTGTGTGTATATGAAACAGTGTTAAAAGATATTAGTTTTAAAAAAATTGTATAGGGATTCAGTTATATAACGATGTTCGTCAAGCATATGGTTTGGCAAGAAAGAAAACTTGGGCAGAAATAACATCCATTACAACGTTGCAATATTATTTAAACCAATTGTATCCTAATGGTCCTGATTCATTAGAAGCTTTTGTTGGAGCAATGGTTGAAGATCATTTGGTTGGATCTAATTTTGGTGAATTATTGAGTACTAGTATGTTTGCACAGGTATATTTATATGGTGTATATAATACCTAATATATAAATATAAATATAAATATATTGATTAATTAATTGTCAATTATCTAGTTTGAACATATCAGAAATTCGGATAGATTCTGGTGGCAGAATAATCAGAATAATCTGTTTACTGCTGATGAAATGGCTGTTAATAGAAATACAACTTTCAAGGATATCATCATTCGTAACCTTCCAGAAGATGTCAGAACAGCTGTTCCACAGAATATTTGGACGGTTCAACCAGTAACAAAAGTTGATAGTCCACGATCATCTGATTATCCTGGAGTTATTGAATTATGGACCACTTACCTTGTTAGTTACAAGATTGTTGGAGAAAATATCAATTTCAAAGTTCAATTGGAAACCGTTGGTGGTGAAGGATGGTTTGGAATGGTTAGTTAGTGATGATGTTATGACAACAAGTTTATAATGAGTTTCTTTATAAGTTTAAAACCTGTTAACTAATAGGTTTATTAATTTTATAAATTAGGGATTTAGTCCTGATGATGATGGAATGAAAGGAGCAGATTTTGTAATTGGAATTGTGAGTCTTCAAATTTAATAATAATGATGATGATGATGATCTTTTTTTAAACAATACTTCAACACCTCATTGTTGATTCTAATAAAAATATTATTGAAAACTTTTTTCAGGTTTCAAATGGAAATATAACTTTAAAAAATTATCGAGCTTCTGGTATGGGCTATCATCCTCCTACTGTTGATGATGATGGTCCAGACTTGACAATCAGTAAAAATGAAATAGTAAATAACCTTGCTACAATTGAATTTGCACGACCTTTATCACCTGGAGGAAGAAAAGGAATTAATAATGGGCCTACAAAATGTAATTTTATTTTATTTTATAAAATTTATTTATTCAAAATTTCATTCTTTTAAAAAAATCTAAATAATTGATTTTCAGATATTTTGGCTTATAATCCTGGAAGGTACGTATACCAATTTCATTGGTATAAAATTCAATCAACATTATTAATAAAAAAATTTTTCCTTGCATTTTTAATAAAATTAGTTCACAAATTTCCTATCATTCAAACAATCGTCAATTTATAATTGTAGACTTTTACAATTATCAAATTTCTGCATCAGCTGTAACTAAAGCTGCAAAATTAGCAAAGTTAAGTCATGGAGTTGGAATGTTTTTAACTTGGAGGTATGTTGTTTATAATTAATAATAAATATTAAAGTTTGTTTTGTAAAGATATTAAACATTTATTATATTTCCATTCCCTATTAGTGTTCTATTCCCTATCTCAATTTTCATAGTTAGATATTACAAACATACCAATAATTATGTTAAAATACATCGATTTGCACAATTACTTGGTGGTATTAGCGTTGGTAGTTTTGGTGCAGCTGCTATGACAACAATTAGTACAGGGACATATCATTCATGGTACCTACTATATATATATATATTTAGAAATTACAATAAAAAAATTTGATTTTTTTTAAATATTAATAATTAAATTAATCTTCTTTTTTCCATCCTTTGTGAAAAGGTTAGGATTGATTATATATTTTTTGATATTTATTGAACTTGGATTAGGTTTAATATCAATTTGGAGTCAAGCATTTATAGTATCAGTTAATCAGGGTTATCCTAGATTTTTAAAAAGGATTCATAAATTTTTTGGTGTTTCCTTATTATTATCTGCATGGGTTAATGTATATTTGGGAATTTACACATTTTGTACATCTTATGGATAGTAAGTGTTTATGACATTCAATATTCAATATATAGTTATGACCTTGAATTTTTTTCAAAACAAAATCATATTTATTAAATTTTCTTTAGTAATCCACTACCATATACGATGTCATATCTTTTATTAGTCTCAGTTACGATATCAGCCTTTATATTTGGTCAATATTATTGGCGTTGGAGGACAAGATGGAATATTAGGAAATTAAAAAAAAATCACAAAGGAGGTTTTGAGAAAGATACAGATGAGGAGGAATCTAAATCAATACTATTCAATTATATCACTATGGAAAAATATAACTTACTACCAGAATTTACATGGGATGAACTCAATGAACGTGTTCAACGTGGTGCATATTTAGTAATTTGTGATGGATTAATTTTTGATATTAGGAAATGGATTGAAGCACATCCTGGCGGTGCAAAAATTCTTGAACGTGTTATTGGGACTGATATTACAAATGGTAAAAATAAATAAAATCATTTTCAAAAATTTTCTTTTATAACTAACTAATAACTATAATAATTATGTAAATAGAATTTTTTGGATACAATACTGTTCGTGAAATAATTGAAGAAGTAGATGAACCAGATGTTCCACCACTTTCAACTGGTGCTTCAGATTCAGTATCACCAGTTTTAGGAAAATATACAAATTTATTACGTGAAAGAAACAAAAAAAATAAATTATCTTACAATAAAAGATCAGTGGCAAAAATTTTTGATAATGTGAATGTTAAATATTTTCTAAAATCTCCATTAGCTGTTCATTCGCACAGTTTATTCGCAGCCAAAAAATTGTCAACATTAATTGTGGCAAGATTAAAAGAAAATGACTATATAAATCCATCATCTTCACCAATCACACCTCAATTTGGGCCATTTAATGATGATGGTCAAATTTATTCTAATAAGGAGAGTGCAATGAGTGATTTAGATATTACGAAACATGAAGCTGCATTCAGAGTTAAATTTCATCGATACAAGTTGACAAGTAGAGTGCTTGCTAATAATAATAAGAAACAACCTGTAATAAAATTTACATTTACAAAAGTTTATCAAAATGATAAAGATTCAATAGATTATAAATTTTTACCTGGACAATACATTGAGGTACAATCAAGAATTAAAGGCCAAGTGGTCATTAGACCTTATACACCAATAGAAGGAAAAATAATTAAAAGTTTTAGCATTTTTGTTAAAATTTATCCAGGTGGACTCATGTCACAACATTTGGTAAGGTTTCATATGAATGAATGACAAATTTAATTAATCGAAGGTTATATGTAAAGAAATAATTATTTATATTTGCTATTTATTATATGATTTTTTAGAATGATCAATTGATAGGATATGAGATTCAAGTGAGAGGGCCATTTGATATTGGTGATAGAATCAATTTAACATCACCAGCATTACCTCAATCTGCTGATTTTAAAGCTGCATATAGAAAATCAGTCTTATCAATGCCAACATCTCCATCAAATATATCTCATCCAAGAAGTTTTATACTTAATCCTAATAATGTTGATGGAACTTGGGATCAATTGTACATGATTTGTGGCGGTACTGGAATTTCACCAATGTTACAAGTAAGAAATTTATTTATTTTTGCATAATAAACTTTTTTTTTGTTTCATTTGTTTTGTTCAATTCATTTATTTATTTACATAAAACTTATTTTATTTGATTATAGTTAATAAAGTATCATTTGGAAATAAATATGAAATATGCTCAACGAAACCCATCATTAAGTAATAAACGTGCATCATTGCACTTATTATTTGGTAATAGAGCTATAGTGGATATTATTGATGGTATTGAATTAGAAGAATTGGCAATAAATAGTAATAATTTTCTGAATATAACCTATTTGTTATCACATCCACCTGAAGGTTGGTTAGGAATTGAAGGTAGACTTGATCAGTTGATAATTGATAAATGGTTAAAATCACAGATTGGTATGGTTAATCACAATGATGATAATAAGGATAAGAGCGTCCTTATTTCTTCTAATCATAATAACAAGAAACATCATTCAAAATCAAGTTCTTTGAATGATTCATTAAGTAATATTGCATCATCGGTAATTCATAAATTTTCAAATTCAAATTCACGCAAACATCTACCAGAATCGGTATCTACATCTTCATTAGTTGAACTAATTAAACATGATAATAATCCTCCTCCATCTATACTTATCAATGATGATAATTATAGTAATAGTAATACTAATGAGAATGATGAACATAAATCTGATGGCTCAAATACAATCCTTTCTTCTAAATTATTATCTACATCCTTTAATGATAGTAATCATAGTAATCATATCCCTTCTAAACTTGGTCCTAATAGTAAAATATTTGTTTGTGGTCCATCTAATATGATGATTGCTGTTGAAAAATCATTAAAGAATCTTGGATATCATGAAAATGAATTTATATTATTAATTTAGAACGATATTTTTTATTTATACTTAGTATATTTAGTTTTTTAATTTAATTTTTTAATTTAATTTTTTAATTTAATAGATTTTAATTTGATAGATTTTAATTTACTTTTCAGTTATTATCACTTTTAGGCCGTTCAAATTTGATTTTTGGAAAATAAAAGTGATCAGCATATCATGACCTTTTAGGATAATTTGTTTTTTTTTAATGAATCAATATACAATCCTTTTATCTACAATAAACATTTGTAGATATGTCCTTTTACATGAAAAAACAAACTTCTGGATTTCTACAAGTTATCTTTTGCCTTATAAAGACTTTGGCAAAAAATACATGCAAGCTAATTGTTTCTTCATCATCCGATGTATATTTACTAAATGCAATGCGGTTATCGCATGATTTACAAATTGTATAAATTAACAAATATGAATAACACATGCAGGGATTTCCTCCCTTGTAAATTCAATAGAACTTGGAAGTTTTAAATTTTAGTGTTCTCCGTAATGGTTCAACTAGCATCTTTTCTGTTGGTTCAAGAGTAAATTGAAATCAAAATTTTTGCAGAAAATTTATGTAATAACTCTTTTTTTCAGTAAAATAATCTATTATTTCAAATAGCAGATTCTCAAAATTGCATTCTTCTTCAATTGTTATTACGGGCTTTGCAAGGAAAATTGAGCTTTGAGGCTTGTAGATCAATCACTTGAAATTAAATTATATTACACACTGTATACGTGATCAAATTATTGAATATCCATCCATCCATCCATAAGCAAGATTTAATAGTGAATTGAAACATAGGAAAGAAATTGTGCCAATTACCGTTATTTATTTCTACTTCCCCATCTTCATCCACGTCCACGTCCACGTCCTCATCACAAAACAACATCAATAATGGCCAGCTTTTCAATTGTATTTTGTTTGACAACGCTTGCTTGATCAATGATTATTAACCTTTTAACTGCCTTTTAACATCTTTGAGATCAAAAGCCAAGGTAATATTTGTGTAAATGGGGATCACATATCATTTTGGGGTTGGTCATCATCAAAAATAATAAATTTTCATATATGCGGATTTTTTAAAGGTTATTTTGAAAATTTTGCGTCACCTCCAAAATAATAATCAATAAAATTGTCATTATAAAAAAATTTTCTACTAATATAAATAAAAAAACTCCCTGATAGACTATTAATTGAGTGTATTTACATACAATTGCGGAAAGATTATTCACACAGCTTGCTTGGTTATTGAGCCTTTACATTTTAAAGTTTATCTATATTTCCATTGTTTATAGTAATAGTAAAATTAATAAATTTGATAACTTTGAACCTTTACAAAAATTTTTTTTATTAATATAAATGAAAAAAAACTCTCGATCGGTTATTAATTGAATGTTTGGAAATACAATCATGGAAAGATTATTCCCGCATCTTGTTTGGTTTAGATTTGAAATTTATCTTATAGTAAAATCAACAAAATTGATAATTTTGAACCTTTACAAGGAAAATTTTTACTAACATAAATAAAAATATCTCTCTGATAGACTATTAATTGAGTGATTGGAAATAAAATTGCGGAAAGATTATTCCCATAGCCTGCTTAGTTATTGAGCCTTTATGTTTTAAAGTTTATCTAATCTTCAATGATTTTAATGATATATATATGTGTAACATTAAAAAATCCGCACATAGTAATTTTCCAAGTAGTAATAAATACTAATCGCGTTACAACGGATTCACGCGTATTTAGATTTTACCAAAAAAAAAACCACATTACTATGTTAAGATTAATCAAAATTTTCCATATTTCTAAATAATGATTTTATACGAATATTAAACACACATTACTAAATAATAATATTAATCAAATTTTCCATATTTCTAAATTGATAATAAATAAATATCTTCTAATAATCCTACATAGTCAACATTTTCTTTGATTAATAAATCTCTAAATTCTACGAAATAAAATGTCTCAACAACTATTTTCTTCTTCCAAAAAATGTGAAAAAGCCTTTTAATTTTCTTAAACAAAATAATATACATGTTGATCATTATCTCGTTTCAACGGATTTAGGTTTAAACCATGTACAAAAAATTTTAAATATGATGCTAATACTAATGAAAAATTTGTGCACTATTACATTTTTCTATGTATGAGGTCTGTACCAGCTGTTTTGTGACTTTTTACTAATCTCTAATACAAGAATTTATAAATTGGTGAAAAAATCGAACCCTGTTTGCATAGTAATTTGAAATTTACCAATTAAATCAAAAATAGATTTTTTGTCTGGTGGCTCAATTTTCCTAGTACAAGCCCCGATATACGTAATGCAAAATCAAAAAAACTAATTTTCAAATTTTCCGGTTTGTTCATTATTCAAGTAATAATCAATTAAAAATAAATATATTTATGGTTAGATTATTTTTCGTACATGTATGCTTGTATGCCAAGATTTTTCATCATGTTAATGAATTCTCCGTTCCCTTCTGAATTCAACTTCAAATAAAAAAATGCCTATAATTGGTTTATTTGAAAGATCTTTGAAAAAAGAAATATTGATCAGATAATACAAGATGACATTGAGCCAGAACAAGATGACAATAATTATGCACAAAGATTGATCGACGAATTTTATACCGACTTATACTCTTTAGAGCAATCATATGTCTAAATAAAGAAAAGATACCTTAAAGGCTAAGACGTATTTCTCACGATTTCGTCACTACAAAGGTTTTTGCCCGTAAGGTAATATTAAATATGTAATATACTTTAAATCCTCAATTTTTGGCGATCTTATGTAGAAAATTAAAATGTAACGTGTGAGATAAATTTTATTTTATTGTTAACTTCTACATTCACATGAATATTGACAATCAACCTAACTAATTTAACGCATATTTCATACATGTCATGCTTAATAATGGCTTGCATATTGCATAAATTAATGATGAATTGACTCTAGTAAAAATTTATGTTTTTTTAATTTTTTTCCAAATGACATTTATATGATCTTGGATTTATATGTCAATTCAATCAAGTTCATATAATTACCATTTGAAGAATAATGTAATATTTACCGTAATTATTTATGTAATATATATATAAATATTCAATCATCCTTTGGACAAAAACAAATATTTAGAGAATAATATATTTATATATATCATATATATGTGTGTTAATATTAAAAATAAATAAATATACAAAAAAAATATGATCAAAGATCTTTCCCTAGGACTTTCCCAAGATTTTGGCCGATTACTTAAAGAAGCTGATGATTATAATGTAATAATTGAAATTGGTGAAGGTCAGAATATGAAAAGATTTCGTGCTCATTCAGTTATTCTTCGAGCTCGTTCTCAGTATTTCCACACCGCATTATCTGGCAATTTGTCAAAAAAAGAAAATGGTTATACACTTTTTAAACAAGTTGATGTTTCTCCATCTATTTTTGATATAATCATGATGTAGGGTATTTATTTTTATTTTTATTTTTGGAAATTAAAGAAATTAATAAATAAATATTTTAAATTATATTAATCGAATTAAATAAAATAAAATTTTTGAAAGGTATCTTTACTCAGGAAAGATAATTTTAGATGAACAAAATAACGATAATCTTCTTGATCTTTTGGTAGCAGCTGATATATTTTCTCTTCATGAATTAATTGAGAATCTTCAAACTTATTTAATTCAATTTAAATCAGATTGGGTTAAAAAAAATATTATAAAAATATTACGTATTAGTAATAAGCGAAAAACATATCAAAACCAACAGGAGAGACCGTCCTATATAAGGAATCGATTTTCACAATTGATTTCAATTTTTTTTATACAGTTTAAAATAC